GCAATCTGCAAGGTGTTATATATGTGATCTTGGATATCTTAGATCTCAAAACGGCGTTGACCAAGCTGTATAAAGCGCTCGACAGCGATCCGAAAGGCTCAGCGTGCGCCAAGCTGCTCGAGTCGTCGTCGTCGCCACCTTCGGCCACGCTGCGTTCGCTCTTTTCCGAGCTGCTTCAGGACCAGACCCTTCGCTCTATGATCCCGGTCCCATTCATTCTATTTTGGAGCACTGGGCTGAATAACGCGAGTGTAGGCGCTTGTGTACCGCTTTACGCGCTGCAGCAAAGACGATGTCACGGCGATCACCAACTTTGCGATTCAAATCGATATCGAGTATGTTGTGATCACGTCACCACGTAACGTCACGCACTGATCTGTCATAGTGACAACACGCCGAGTCCATCTGACAGTTACCGGTCCACCATGCTGTACAAGCTCATCGTGAGCTCTGAGCTCTGGCGGACGCCCACGGAATCCTACGACACGCTCAAGAAGACGTTCATGAACACACTCATCGGCAGCAACGTGGCGAGCTTGGTGACCACCTACTGCATTGCCAGCGGCGGCAGTGACCCCAATTGTGCTCAAGAACGCGCGCCGAGCAACAGCTACAAGTGGCAGTACTTGCGCGATACCTACTACGACGTGCCGATCACGATTCCCAAGGGTACCAGCGTCCTGCTGATGAGTGGGCTCCTGGATCCGCAGACCGCTGCGAGAGGCGCTCGCAACCAGTACGACAGCTTTATCGGGTCGGCCAAACGCCTGGTCGAGTTCAACTACTCGGCCCACGGCACCATCGTCAACACGCCCGTAACGACAAAGGTATATTGTGTTACTGTCATTTGCATCACAAAGGCGCTATCAATATGATGGACTCTAGGGCGGAGCTCCGTGCGCAGCCCAACTCGTCGCGTCGTTTGTGACGGTTGACGGTGACGTGACGGCGCTCGATACGAGCTGCCTCGCGACCGTTGCCCCCATGAGCTTTGCGATCAAGCCATCCCTGGCCAAGTCCTATTTGGCGACAGACGATATCTACGACGGTGTGCCCACCGAAAAGTTTACAGCGGCGTCAACTCAGGCGCCGGGGACGTCTGCGGGAGACGGCCCGGCGACGACCAGCGACACGGTTGCCTCGGGCTACAAGACCGCAGTGATCATTGGCTATGTGCTTGTGGCGGGTCTCGTCGTCGTCCTGCTCGTGCTCGTGCTTCGGCAGCGAAAGAAGCAGCAACAAGCGCACAGCACGCTCTATGTCGAGCCAACGCCAGCTTAAGTTCGACCCAGTGTCGATATTTGGCTACTCCCACCTTACCACACTTTATAGCTATTGCATCGACCGTGGAATGATATCGAATCAACCCTGTATGCGCTGTCGAGCATAGTTAAAAGTAAGAGGCATGGACGACGAGTTGGGTTTCGCAATCTAA